GCAGGCCTCAAGCGAGGGGGTGTGGTGGTCCCCGGAGGCAGGAAGAGAAGGAAGAAGCTGCTTCCCCTTTGGCCCACCCCCCTCATCCCGGCCCCCACCTTAAGCCGAGGGGCCCAGCAAACAGGATGGAGGTGGGGGCAGGGAGGATAGGGTCAGAGCGCAAGCACTGGCCCTGGTTCAGCTTGGCCCACTGGGGGAGGGGGGCTTTGCCCCAAGAAGGACCCCGTCAACCTGGGGTAAGCCCTGGGCAAGGAGGCAGGAAAACCCCCAGAGAAAGCTGCCCTGAATACCTCCTCTAGTAAAGTTTGTTTGGGGTGATTTTTTTCCCTCGACAATAAGAGGTTAGAGAAGAAGGTAGTCCTGTTCCCATATCAACACTGGAAGCCGGGCCAGTGAATTCTCCACCCTGCACGACCCCTTGGCCCAGACCCTAGTCCGGGCCATGGGTGAGGAGCGCGGAACCAGCTGGGCGCGGGGCCGGCCCTGCACAGTACCACTGTCATCCCATCCCACCTCCGCGGGTGAGCCCTAGCCTGGCACCCACCAGAGCAGAGGGAGGCGCCGCAGGTACAGTACCGACGAGGCTCCGGGAGCTGGAGAACAGGGCCTCTGGACTCCGTGTGCTCACCTGCTCAGCAGGTGGGGCCCGCGTCGCTGGGAAAATGTGCGCTCGGCCCCCACAGTTGGGCAAGCCGGGCGCAGACAATAGGGCCCCACCCAGGCCTGGGGGAGTAGAGAGGGAGGGAAAGCGAGGATGACGCGTGAGGTGGGGTGAGGGTGGCCCCAAAGAGACCAGCGGCAGCAAGTTTCCCAAACAGTAAATTCCTAACTAGAGTGAGCACTGGGATGAAGACGGAGCAGGTCAAAGTCTCCCCGCGAGAGAATCAGGCAAGAGTCAGAGACACGGCGTCGGGCGAGCTCCGTGGGCCCCGGGGGAGGCGTGACCCCGGAGGCACCTGCCCTGACCCCTCCCCGCCCTGCTCAGATCCCCAGGACACCCAGCCCCAAGTGCGCTCCGCCGGAGCCTCGCGCCCCCTCAGTTGCCGCGCCCAGGACCCGAGCGCGCCCCCTGCCGCCGGTGCAGGGTGGCGCTCCCTGGCTATCTCCTTCACCTGCCCTGAGACCGCGAGGATCGGCCTCTCAGCCGCTCACCGCCTTTCCCTCGCTCCAGCGATACCTGCCGCGATCGTCCGCACCTGAGTGTGGAGCCTGGCCGAACTGGGTAGGGGTCGGGCCGGGATGGGAGCCGGCGCGGGCAGCGAACTGAGCTCGGCGCTCTCGGGCGGCGGCTGCTCCGGACTCTGGCCAAGACAGCAACTCAGTAACTGAACAAAAGGCGAAGGGACCTGACAGCCAAGCCACGCCTCTCGCCCCCTCGAAGCTCCGCCCTTGAGGGAGACGCCCACCCGCTGAAGCGGACTCACTGGCTGCCTCGTCTGACTATCCCATCGAGGGGCGGAGCCTCGTCTCCAGTCCTCTTCCATCGCCGCCTCTGTTTATCCGCTAGCCATTGGCCCCAGGGACTGCCAGTCGGCTCTGAGGACGGCCTCCAACTTGAGGTTCCATCCTAACTCTGCACCTATTGGCAAATATAAGGTTACTTTCTCCTGATTGGGCAAGGAGCTGTCAGTAAGACTAAGGAAAGAACCAATGGAAGGGGTGGAGTGTGTCTTGCTCCACCCTACCTCTGAGCAGGTGAGACTCTTCTCTCCCCTTTCCCCCTACCTGCCCAACAGGTGAGTCAGAGGGCGCCATGGGAAAGGACAGATTCCTTCACTGGCCAGCCAACTCAGCGTCAGGCATGACGCTTCTTTGGGCTTATTCACCCTTGCCACAAAGTCGTAATAATGTATTTGTATAGCATTTTATAGACTTTTTGCTGATTTGGTTTTTTTTCCCCAAAGATGGAGTGAGTGCTCATGAGATTTAGAATTAGAAGGCCAGGGTTTGGGTCCTGCCACTTAGTAGTTGTCTGTAAAACTGGGTGCATTAGCTATATCTCTTTAACCTGGGTGCATGTGGGGATGAAATGAAGTCAGGTTTGTGAAATCACTTGGACAACTGCTAAATGCTAGAATTTAAATAAATGATATGGGTTTTTTTAATTCTCATGACGATTCTGAAAAATTGTTAGGACCACAAAATGACCCTCATTTCAAAGATGAGAAAACCGAAGTTCAAAGAGGCCACAAAGCTAGAAAGTGGCACATCGTAAACTAGAACCCCTTTCTTCTCATTTCAAGGTCCACTAAACCACATGTTCTCTGGTGGAATAACAGCCTAGATATAAAATGTCAAAGCAGTGGGGAGGGGCTGGGAAAACGGCAAAAACAAATATTCTGGGTAGAGACAGAAGAGCAATGATTTGGGATAAAGAGAAAGTATTGGTGGGTTTGTAAAAAATATCAGGCAACAGATCTAAAGGAAATCAACACTGGCATAAAAGAAATGGAATAGCAGGCCCCTCGTTACGGGAAGAGTCTGGGTTAGTTACCAGAAAGAACTTCCCAATAGGTTAAGAAGACAAAAGTCTTCCCTTTGTGTGGTTGATGGAATGAAGGCCTGCTGTTGGCTGTACAGCATGCCAAGGGTCCTACATTCATTCATCAACACTTAAGTATTGAGCACAAACTGTATGCTAGGCACTGGGTTAGTTAGACCTTGGTGACACAAAATAAAAATTATCCCAACCCTCAAAGGGCTAAGTATAAACAGGTCACCTTAGCTACTCTGGGGGTGGAGGGTGGGGG